GTAGCCATCTTTAGCTGACTCTGACTTCCATCTCCCATGCCGCTTGAATAGTCTATCCGGCAAATTGGGAGTGTTAGCTGCTGCCGTAGCTCCACCTGCTCTAAAACTATGCAGACCAAAATCCTGAGTATTATATCCAAGACCTCCTAGCTTCCCAAGCACAATCTCCCTCATTCTTGTATAGCTGAGGCTCCCAGACGACCTGAGAGACTCCCCATTCTTTGTGTTAACTATTGGCCTAAATAGACAAAGCTCAGAAGAGGATTCAATCTTTGCCAATCTGAAATACCGCTCCATCATTGCTACTGGGCATGTGTCCAAACCAGAACGGTTGATAGGCACTGTGTCCCCTTGTCTGAATTGATCCGTCTTACTCGACTTTATACAAACTTCCTGTAGTGACCGAATGGAGAGAGCTTGACCTTCGTATTTTGTAAATATTGATTATTGTAAAAAGGCTAAAATCTCTTCTGACAAAAATGAAAAGAGCATACACTTATATACAAACAGTATTACATCATATTACATCACAATGACAAAACATTACACAACAATCAGAATCCGTATACATGAACTAATAAGCATAGTAAATCATAAGCATCAGCTAGAAGGAAAAGAAATAACATCGTACAGCAATGCAATAATAATAATAATTAATAATAGTAATAATAATAATTGTAATAACAATAGTAGTAATAATAATCATAATAACAATAATAATAATACTAGAAATAACTGTAATCAAAATGCCTTAGAAAATAATAATAGGAATCAATACCAAAATAATATATCAATATATAACACCCCTCCCCTCTTAAGTTAACATACATACGGCCCATGATCAGTAGTCATCCTTGAACGAGTCGATCGACGAATCGGTGGGGGCAAAGGAGGCGGAGCAGGAGGTGGAGGCACGTTAGGAATCAATGGAGTGAAATCATCATCCCAATCACTGTCCTCCGGAAGGGTATCTGGCTCAGAGTCTTCAGTGTACCTTTTTCTGAGCTGATCAGCATGTCTTTTAAGCACTAAACCATCCATAGTTTCAACATGGTAAGACAATGGTCCAGTGACCTTACAGACAACCACAGGAATCCATAATGGCTTCCCAGAGTAGTTCCTTGCAAACAGCTTGTCATGTAGCTTGAATGATCTTGCATTGCTTTTAGTCTTCTCTTTCTGTGAAGGTAGAGTGAAATCTGGGTGAGCAGTATCTAAGACTGATCTTAATCTACGTCCCATTAAGAGTTCAGCTGGGGATTGCCCAGTAGTAGATTGAGGAGTGATTCGGTAAGAGAAAAGGAATCGAGCAATTCTTTCATGTAGTGGTCCTTCCATCTTCTTAATAGCATTCTTAAATGTCTGCACTGCTCTTTCTGCTAGACCGTTAGACCTCGGATGGTAAGGAGCTGTTAGTGAATGGCGAATACCATTTAGAGACATGAATTTCTTAAATTCTTGACTAGTAAATGAAGGTCCATTATCAGAGACCAACTGATGAGGAAGACCATGAGTAGAGAATATGTGACGAAGGACTTTGATAGTCGCTTCAGAGGAAGTAGAAGGTACAATGCATACTTCTAACCAGCGAGAGTGAGCATCTACCAGAATGAGGGAGTAGTGTCCCAGGAAAGGACCAGCATGGTCTATATGAAGTCGTGTCCATGGAGTCTTTGGAACTTCCCATGGGTGTACAGGAGTTTGAGGAGGGAGAGCCCTGTTTTCTTGGCATGCCTTACATTTCTTTACTAGATCTTCAATTGCCTTGTCTAATCCAGGCCACCAGAAATAGCAGCGGGCTAGACTCTTCATTTTCGACATTCCCTGATGTGCTTCATGTAATTGAAGAAGAATAGCTGACTGACCCTGGGGTGGAACAATCACTCTTGAGCCTCGAAGGAGACATCCATTAGCTACACTGAGTTCTACGAAACAGTACGAATAAGGTTTCAGTTGTGGAGCATCATCAGGTACCTCCCCTCCAGTGAGTACTATCTGACGTAACCTTGATAAGTTTGGATCTTTATCTGTCCACATCTTAATATCATCAGCTGAAACTATAGCTTCTGAAATATGTTCAAACATTAGCACTACATCTTGTGGTACAGGGACAGAAGAAGGGAAGTTAGGAAGTGGTAGTCTGCTCAATGCATCTGCATGTGGAATTAATTCTGATAGTGCAATTGCCCAACGTTGGATACGAGATGAGGCAAGTAGAGGAATCTGTTTAGACTCGCTCAGGAGAAACTGTAGTGGTTTATGGTCAGAATGAAGGACAAATTTTCTACCATAAATGTAATCATGAAATTTGCGAACAGCAAAGATAATTGCTAGAGCTTCCTTCTCCAACTGAGAGTACTTCTTTTCAGCTGCTGAGAGAGTACGGGAAGCATATGCAACTGGCAGGTCAGTCCCATCAGACATCCTGTGGCTGAGGACTGCTCCTAGTCCGTAAGGTGAAGCATCACAAGCTACCACGAGTGGCTTCTTCTCATCATAATGCGTTAAGACAGAGGAGGAATGAAGCATGGCTTTAGCCTTTTGGAATGCTTTCTCTTGGTCCTGAGACCATTTCCAGGGAGTATCTTTTCGAAGGAGTAGATGAAGAGGAGATAATACAGTGGCTACATCTGGTAGAAATTTGTGGTAATAGTTCAATAGTCCTAAGAAGGATTTCAGTTCCGTGACGTTAGTAGGAGTAGGCGCTTCTCGAATAGCCTTCACTTTGGCTTCTGAAGGATGTAGACCATCTGAATCAATGATGTGTCCCAAGTACTCAACTGATGGAACACCAAATTTACACTTGGACTGCTTTAAAGTGAGTCCTGCCTCCTCTAGAGTTTGCAAAACAGCATGAAGATTATTGAGGTGATCAGCATCATCAGTACCAGTAACGAGTATGTCGTCTATGTAGACACATACATGCTGCAAGTGACTAAGTAAGTTCTCAATTGTACGTTGAAATAATGAGGGTGCTGATGAGACTCCAAAAGGAAGGCGCTCATATTGGAAGAGCCCTTTAGGGGTATTGATGGTTGTAAATTTCTTGGAAGCCTCATCTAGCGGTATCTGAAGGTAAGCGTGCTTTAAATCAAGTTTCGAGAAGATCTTTCCTCCAGCTAGGGCAGCGAACAGATCCTCTGATCGAGGTAGTGGATATGTATCAGTTAACAGAACTGGGTTCACAGTAACTTTGTAGTCCCCGCACAATCGAATAGACCCATCAGTCTTTACAATGGGAACTATGGGTGCAGCCCACTCTGAGTACTTTACAGGTGTAATAACTCCTAAACCCCTTAGGCGATCTATCTCGTCGAATACCTTTTGTCTCAGCGATAGAGCGACAGGACGTGGTCGGTAGAACTTCGGTTTCGCATCTGACTGGACGTGAATCTTGGCTGTGAAGTCCCGCAGCTTCCCCAATTCCGAACGAAATACTGGAGCGTGCTTCTGGAGTACTTCACCTAAAGAAGAAAAAGAACAATTATAATTAATATGATTAATAAGGGACCAATCTAGTCGGATAACTTCCAACCAATTACGACCCAGTAGAGTAGGTCCATTTCCAGGAACTATCACCAGTGGTAGAGTAGCAGTCTGGGACTGATAACGAACATCAACATCTATAGCACCGACTGGCTTGATCTTCTCTCCAGTATACGTAGTTAGAATGACATGAGAAGGAGAAATTGGAGGAAGAGTAGAAGAAAGAGAGGAATAAGTGTCTTTACTCATTATAGATAAGGAAGCCCCAGTGTCCAGTTCCATCGAAAGGTCAACCTTATTGACACTCACTGAAACAACAATAGGTTTTCCAGCAGAAGGCAAAGTAAACAATGGGTAGTCCTCTTGGTC